TTTTGTAAATATTTTGAAAAAATTTCGACAAGTTTTGACGATACATTTCGCCCCGCGACTAACCCAGTGCCGGTGATCATGCTTCGTAACATGGTGATGGAGTGCTTAGTGAACGGTGCTGGTGGTGTGATAGTGATATCATTTTCAATTAAATACCATATTGGCCAAGGCACAGCGTTCAATTTGTTTGAGCTGATATCAGCCAAGGATATGTCCTGATATGCCAAGCTTTACAGGCCACGTATCTTGTCTGATGTCAGCCAAGTTGACCTTGGTCTGACACAGGCCAAGCATCTTGCCTGATATCCAAGTGACCTTGGTCTGGTACAGTCCAAGGTTTGCCTGTCTTGTCTGATATCAGCCAAGTTGACCTTGGTTTATCACAGGCCAAGTTTTTCCTACCTTGGCCAAGCATAGATGTGACAGTGTGGTGTAGTGATGGTTCGTGTGTCTGCAGGACGCGGAAGGCGATGAGCAGACCCGAGAGAAGAGGAAGTTTGAGGGAGTGACCCAGGCCAAGTTTGGTATCAAGAATGCAGTGCTGGGATTCGTTTTTGGGGTCAGTATTTCGACTGGACGTTTTTAAAATTAATCCAAAATTTGACATTGGTTTTAATAAATATTTTACTCATAATATGATGGACTCTATCTAGATCCTAATATGTGTAATAATAACAATTAAAGTGAAACTAGTCGAGAGTCATTAGAAAAATAAAATCTTAAGCCAAATAACTCTACAAATTAACTTAATACTTGCGTTTTAAAGTTGCGTAAAACTTGACACAGTAATAAGATGCTTGCATCGCGTCGCTGCAACCACAGTAACACGAAACTTCAATTACAGAAAATCAACTCGATAATCGACGCCAAGACACGTTTGGTGGAGAACCTCGACCGTCAGAACATCGAAATCAACAAGCAGTACGGCATCGAGCCGCCACAAAGCGGGCTGGCGTCGTTGAGCGGCATCGTGGGGCAAGTGATCACCCCAAAGCTTCAACTCTTGGGGCCTAAGATCCAGGCTGTGACGTCACTGTTCGGTGGATCGTCCGGTGGATCGTCTGGAGGCTCAGGTGGGGGCGGACTCGGATCCATCTTGTCCCTTGTGACGTCTCTGTCAGGCTCATCGTCGGGCGGCGGCAACTCGGGCGGAACCGTCGAAACGATCGACTCTTCTGAAGAAGATGACTCGTGATTTCCTTCTCTGTATATACACACTACGACACTAAACCCAGACCTTGCAATCGAGAGGTTATGAACGTGTGTTAATTAATCTTTGAATGAAAGTAATCTTCTATTAAAAGGAATCTCTCGATGTAAAGTCTGTGGTTTATTAAAGCTTCATAACTAGGAAGGACATAGGGGTACAAAGTATCCTATAAGGTCTTTTTGGCTTAGTTACTATTAAGTATTATTGTAAATATATTTTTAAATTGTTCATCCCATTGATTAGGTCTTTGTCATTATTTTATAATTGAATCATGTGCTGTAAATGCTTTCGAATACCAGTTTATTAGTATCATGACGTCATAGACAAAGTCGTGTGAAAAGTTAACAAATCTTTTGATTCATAATTAGTTTATCATTGACATCATTTAAAATTATTTGGTTACAAAACGTGACCTTGGCAATTGTCGTCAGATCAGGTTAACGTGTCCAGTGTTTAAGATGCTTATGATGTTAGGAAAATGAAACCCAGTGGTCCGTGTTGAAATAAGATTTCGTCATACAAACTCGTATATTCATAAGAACAGTGTCGTAGTGTGTTATGAAATCCGTTCCCCTGTGACCTTCCCTGTACAGTTTCCTTCGCACTTTTTTACTATATTTATGTTGTAAATAGTTTTAGGTTGAGCGCTGGTGATAATAAAATATTCCTTCCAGTTGTTTGTTTATTTGCACGACGCACATTGCACCCCGTAGTACAATTACTCGCATATCAAATCATTTTGATGAATATAAGTTTAATGTTCAAGATTTTACAAGTTTTATAGTGGTTAATGAAGGGTCTTGCCAGAAATCTAAGACATAATAAATGTAAAATATTATTCAGAATCTTTTATATTCTTGCCCTATTTTAACTAAGTTTCAGTAGAGTCCATGTAAAATCTTGGCCCATTGCACTACCGTGCGCAAAATGAAGAATTATCTCGAGTATTGCATTTGCTATGCGAGTGGTATCTTAGCACAAATCAAGCTATTGTATAATAGCGAGCATACATACACCGTTACATAAAGCGCACAACACTGTAATGTAGTATTTCGTAAAATTATAGTTTGCTTTGTAGTTCCTTCAGATTGAGCAATTTTAAAAGAAGATCCACATATTTTTTTTAATAAATTAACTTTCAACTGTGGTAATGTTTATTCCACAATTATAACAGTTTTTCAATAGATTTTTGTCCTTGAACCGGTATCAGTACAGTTGAGAGGATAAAGTCGCTTTAAACAGTATTTCTTATATTCTTTAATCATGGAAGTTAATGATGTCAAAAATTTTCACAGTAAGAAAGTAGTCACAATTCTTATGAAGTAGACTTTAAATCACTCCATAAACCATGCATATTATTTATAAATAGCCTATACTTTATTTCTTGATATCTCGAGTACATCATATAAAGAAGAGTTCGGGGCCAAGAACCCAGAAATATTGGCATACAAACATTTAAATACAAATTGTATTTAATAATATGTTGCGTATGTATTGATAGATACTGTAAATAGCTGTAAGGGATCTATCATTAGATGGATAAGAATTTTTTTGTATATAAAGACGCTTTATATATAGTAAATTAAGGGTAGTTGGAAAGCGACATCTTGGGAAATAAGAGTCGTTTTCATTTTGCTTATTTGTACATAGGTATAGACTTCATAAAAAATATCAAACATTAATAATTCATTCAGACTTTCAACACTACTTTTCAATGTTTCCATTTATTCATTACTGTCGTTCTTAAAATTTTCTTACCTATTACTTACATCATTTTGATCATAACTCATTTTTATTTTACATAGCATTATCTAAATACTTTTACAATATCAAATTATCTTAAATTTTAACTACCTGTGTAGTCAATACTTTTAAGTGCAGTAGACGATGCGTATCGAATAACTTCCGAACTATTCAAATAGAAACTAAAAAACAAGCATTTGAATATTCAATAATACAACAGCAAAACACAAACAGGTGTAAGCAATCGCCAACAATGTATTTTAAAAGATGCAGTAAGTATCTAGGTAGTAACTTTAAACATAAGGGAAAGTGAAAAACTTTCACGTTTTCTTTAAAAAATGCATGTAACCTATGCTTGCTAGTTATCTTTGTACAGTTTTTTCTCGCAGCCACTTCCTCTAGCCAATTATATGCCATATAGTTAAATTAGTCAATAAATTATCCATTATCTCCTCAGTCATCATAATTGAAACATTAACTCATAATATGAAATTTTTCATTGTTTAAAAAAATTGAGGCGTAAGAGTTTATTTTGATATCTCATAGTTTATAAACAATTCAGAACCTATTCTGAATTCTAAAAAGGTGAAACGCCGAGGCAGAAAACCCATGTAACAAAAGGTACCTGAATTTCATGCAACAAAGGTAAATAATTAGGTACAAGTAGGTATAACTCGCCTAAACTTGCCTGCAATGAATGAGAGAACTACTTATTTCATTGTGTTTAAAACCTGCTTGAGAACCACTCAAGCTTGACCGTTCCAAGTATAATATCCTAGGTTACAATTCAACTAGGCATTAAGCTCATTTGTATCTAGCTGCTAGTCACGCGATTTCTGAGCCTGTACATACACTAGTCGCTATCTTGTCTTTAATTTGTGCTATAAGTTCTTTTGTGTGCCAGTTATTTTTTTATTAGTCATTTCACATTCATTTTAGGAGTAGGCAGAGGATAAACGTTAGTCTATAGATTTGTTCAATATGTCTTTTTTCCTCTGAAAACACGCACATAAGGATCATTTAGTAAGTAATAAACACAGCAGCTAACACATTATTTTATTGTTTCACTTCATTACTTATGCATTTATCTCATTATTTATTCATTTATAACTCCTCAACTATATCCGCACTTATCATCTCATTATACATTTCTAATCACACAAACATCCTTTATTTCTTAATAATAATGTATTTTCTTAACTATCGAATGTTATAAAATAATAACTTTTCCAAAACAAATATGTGATCGAAGTTTATAAATAAATATTTGCCTTTGAAATTGTGTATTTTACTTATTAAGTTATCAAAACATATATTAGGACCACTTATTGAAAAATAAACAACTGAAAAACACTGAATCAATACATTAGGTATCTCAACGCTGAACACCTTACTTTATACGTATTATATTATCTGTGTTTATACTAAATGACTTGTATTTCCAATTTTATTATATTAATATTTTATAAATAATTATTTATTACTTTTATTGACATTTATTTTTTCTCTTTATTATCTACACTTACCTACAATGTGTTTCACAAACTTTATAAACTTACAGATTTTTATGTAGAGACAAAAAAACTAATGGTGATCACGATTAGTAAATTGTTACAAACGTCATTTGGGAAAAAAATAGACACGAATCCGTTTGTGGTAATGAATATTTCAATGTAGTAATAAATGACAAATCACCAGAATGGATTTTAATACCTTTAGAATAAGGATAAAAGTTTTGTAAAGTTGAACTTTTGAGGTAGGTCTACGTGCTGGCCGTACCAACTGAAATAAGTTAATTTTTACCAACAGTTACCTTATCTCCTTAGGAGTGTCAATAATTAATCTAAGTTTCAATGTAAACCACAGCTCAGCACTAAAAGTTACCATATCAGTTTCTTTGTACATTTGTAACTATTCTAAGTTATTTCATCATGTAAGTATATATTTTTTTGTAAATAAAATATTGATATTGCTTAAATAAAAAATGTAAGTTGCTAACATTATTATAAGGTAGACATAAATCAGCAAAATTTTATTAACCACACAGGATGGCATTACATACCGCCGCCAGGTACGAAGCACGAGCCCGGAGCGCGTATCGTTGTTGCCGACATCGGACACGAGCCCGTTCAACACGGGGGCCACTTTGAACAAGGGGGTCACCTTGAACAAGGGGACCACTTTGAACAAGGGGGTCACCTTGAACAAGGGGGTCACCTCGAACCAGGGGGTCGGCTCGAACCTCAACGCGTGGAGCCAGGACAGCAACACAGGGGCCACGTCCGCTACTCAGGGCACCTCATTGAACACCAGGGGGTTGTCTACCAACTCCGAGAGGGGGGCGAGGCAGGCCGACGACATCCCAGTGTTCGATCGGAACAAGGTCAGCCTGGACTTCCCGGGGGCGTTGTTTGGTCCGTCCCTGTCGCTGCTCATCAAGACCACTAAAATTGTTGGAGATGTCATACAGGTGAATATCGATTTATTGATGCTTAGGCTAGAAAAGTTCCCTTTTACTTTTATTCACAGACAATGGAATAGATTTCGATCGAAAATATTTTCTTTAGTAAAAAACTACACCAATCAGATATTCCTGAGTGACACAGACTATAAAATCCATACAGGAGAAGCAATTAGAAAAAACTAGTGGTGTATTAAGTGTAAAAAATTATCAGTTAAGACTTAGTTTCTTTGGTTGGTAAATTGAATCTTAATCCAAGTAGCCACTTCTTAACTTCATCAGTTTAATATTGACTGTAGAACCTTGGCCTGAAAAAATGAATATGAGTGACAAATACTAGACTTTAAAACTAAAATGGTTATGTACCGTACTCAGATAAAATGTGTACACTGTACATTGTACAGTATGTTATATCAGAATGTTTTAGTAAATATAAAAAGCATCTCAAAGGCAAAATCGCTATTCTTGATCGAATACAATGTGTTAAGAGGCAGTTTCCATTCTGGACTACAATGGCAGTACTTTGCAGTTGCGTATTTGAATTCCGGTAAAACTTTTAATGTGATGATCGTTTTTTTAAATGGCTCCTAAAGTGGCTACTTAGTAATTATATCTAGTGCTGACTGTACTACATATCAAAATTTAACCTAACTAATTACCACGACCTTCTAAAAGAAGTACCTACTTAAAGCAATTGGGATGCCGTTAATGTACTTATGTATTAGCTACTTGCTGTCATTGGCACTAAAAGTCGAAATGTAAGCGCCATACAAAAGTGAGAGGTTCGGTTAATCTGTACCTACTAATTAAGGTCTTTACTTATTTCTAGTTCCAGCATGTAGTTAGCTCCAAGGCTAACACCTGAGTTAAGTTAGTAGTCAAGGTTAATTTTAGTTTTAGTCAGATTGGACGTAAGTTAAGTTTGATTGTAAGTTTTTGTGTGTTATTGTATGTTATACCTTGGAATAGGTTAAGGTACGCCACAACATTGAGCTAAATACATATAAATCACATATAAGGTCTTTTCATAGTCCAAAATTCATTTTCTTCCTTTTCATAATGCTGTAATGCATTTGTGGCTAAGTAGGTACTTGTGACTTCACATTCTTGAATAGCAGTCAAGACACTCTTCATCACATCTGGATCCCAGTGCCCTGTCAATGTTCCTAGAGCTTAGCTAAAGGATGTCAGGGGACGCCAGAGTTCCATAAAAAAATACCCAGAATGAAGCAGTGTGTCTATAAATACAAACTCTATCTACTTGGACAAACTCAGAGAAGTTTACATTACAAAGCTTTAAAGATTTTTGTAAATAAGTTGGCAAAGGACATGTTTCACATTTCGGCATATCGTATGAGTTCTAGAATTTTTTAAAGGTTATTTAGTTGTTTGTATACTCCTATGTAAAAATTAACGACAACGTTTCTCTGCTCTCAACTACAAAAATTTTAACAGCAAAATCACCAGCCCGCATCATTGCTAACATTCCGTCCCCGTGCGTTTCAGAACTCGGCAGTCCGGTACCAGTCCTTCCTGAGGCTGTTCCGGCCTCTGTTCCGAGGCCAATTCGAGATCAAGGGCCTGGACCCTCCCACCACCACGACCACCACCACCACAACCACGACCAAAGCGCCAGTAGCAGCTGACAACGAAGTTCGCAGGCGATAGAAGGAAATCTTGGAATGAGTTATTTGCAGATATATTGACTTTTCATCGATTCAACGCAAATAGATGAGAGTTTTATAAAGTAGAAAGATTTTTAGCAACATCATTTATGAGAAAATTTGCCATGAAAATATAACCAACTAGATGTTACCCGCGGTACAACGTAGCCTGTGTGTTAATCCAAGGTACCAGGGTAACCAGCTAACTCCATGCCAAATTTTATTAAAATCACTCCAGCCGTTTAGATGTGAAGAAGTAACAAACATTCGCCTTTTTAATATTACAGCGATTTTAGTTTTGAATTGAAACTCGACTAATATTTCTGCAAATAACTGTTTTGGTTCGATATTGTTTTAAGTAGAGCGAATTTTAATAAATATGTTGTTTGTGGCTTAAAAATATCAAAATTTTTGTTAGGAATATTTTGAAATGTTTTTTTGTGAAAAAGATGCCAAAAAATTGTTGATTACATAATTCGGATATAAAGCAAAGAGGCTTTACCAATAATATTATGTAGTATGTAATAAATACTATGATGAGAATACAAGTAAGATACAAAAACTGTATATCACAATGTGTCTCAGCTCTCAGCTTAGCAATTAATTTTTCAGTCACTTTAATAAGAACTGTGTTACCCAACTGCAGAAAAGGGTGATGTTTCCGGGTCCCACTATGGCCAAGTGCTGGGCAAGTCTGTCGGGTGGTTCTTTGGAATAACAAAATATACTCAACATCAAATAAACCGCACCTTCCGCGACGCGAACTTTAACGATTTTCTTCTGACACAATCATGGTACCCCAACAATATTGGTGTTATTTGAAAGCCCAATAAATATCCTTAAAGAAAAACACATTTAATTTCTTAATAAATGATTAACATATACCATAAATGTGACATGAAAAAATACCTCACTTTGGCACCTATGGGATCAATTAGACCAATTTTTATGGTTATAAAACCAAATAATGATTTCACGTGTCCTCTTTAACAGATGGATAGCAATTAAACCCAACTTAACAGATTTATAGCCATAAAAGTTGGCTCTAGCGTAACTACCTATTTTTTTAAGAAGTGACTCTGGATCCTTCTAAAGACACATTTTTGGGGTAAAAACCTTTCCTTTAATGAAATGAAGGTTAGAACTAGGTTTTTAAATGGTACCAATATTGGTGGGAAGTGGGGATGCATACGTTTGAAAATGCTTGTCGCGGGAGGTGCGATTTATTTGACGTCGAGTGTATGTTATATATTCTCCATATCTTCATCTGTTACAGATTAAAGTCATTTTTCTTAGGGTACATAATATGACTACATAGAGGCATAATAATACTAATAATGGCATACTTTAAGTGAGATATAAATTAAAATAAATAAATTGAAAACGCTATCATAAGTCATCTTGTCATTGCAAAGTCTGTTTAAAACAATTTATATTTATAATAGAGATGCGACTCCTAACGCTAAAAATTAAATAACTGTTTAAAACACTTTAAAAGCTAAGTAACTAAAATGTTATGAATTGTCTAAAAAACAATATTGTGTGTAGTGTACGTATGTACCAAAGCTATTGCTTTTTTATTGTTAAAACTTCGTCTTAACAATTTGTATAATAACAGTAACTTTTTATAAATATCTAATGACTCTTGATTTAATATTTTGGAAGGAATTTTGTGAAAAAGAGCAAAATAAACACATACAAAAAATAAATATAGGTAGTTTAAATTGGACATTATGCCCAATATTTTATAATATTTTTTATAAAAATGCACTTGATAAATGATTTAGATAGAGTTTATATTCTAAGAAATATAATTAGATATAATAAAACTTTTCTACGGTATTATTGTTTGTGCCAGGTTTGTAAATAGAGTAGAAAATAATAAAGATAATTATGTGATAAATCTTTGTTTAATTACAAAAAAAGATAATCCACTAACAAAGACGAAGAAAAAAAAAGAGAACTGCATTCAAAGATTTCCGATTTTTTTCGGAAATTCACCATATTTTTTTTGTAAATAATTAAAACAATTTAAGATTTCATTCTTCAATCGATTTGGATTTCTATCCTTATACTTAACCCCATAAAAATACAGGTGTAATTTTTAACAGATTTTAGTTGGTTCGATTCCCAGGTGTGGCAAGCTTTGTAAATCTTTGAATGCAGTTCTATTTCTTTTCAAAAATGGGTTAGTAGTAGTTTCGCACGATTTTCTTTCGCACCCTGTATAACATTAGTTCCTTATTAAAATTAAAATTAGCGTTTTTTTCTTCAATATTCATACTATAGTTATGTATGTCATCATAATTTTTTAGGGTTACGTAGTCTTGACAAGGAACCCTTATAGTTTCGATATGTCTCTCTGTCTGTCCGAGGTTTTGCTTGGAAACTATTGGCACTAGAGAGCTGTTATTTTGTGGAGGTATGTATATTAAATACGCCGACAAAACGATAAAATAAAATTTTGAAAAAAAAAATACGGTAGCTCCCCTACATGTAATGTGGGGATAATTTTTTTTTAATCTTTTACCCCATCGTGTGGGGTATCGTTGGATAGGTCTTTTAAAATGGCTTAGGGGTTTCTAAGACTATTTTTCGTGGCGTCCTAAACTACTAAGACTAAACTGTTAGCTTGAAAAATCTGGAAAAAATCCTAATATAGGTATAACGGTTAAGATACATCAGTTACTTTAAAAGTAATAGTCATTTGACTCATGTATTATATTATTCCTAACTAGTAAAAATTTTTTAGAAGAAAAGACACGCACTTGGCCAATTTTTATTATTATTAGATAAATACTAGGCCTAGCTGATTCAGAAGTATTTACATCCATAACACGAATGTAAACTCAAATCCTGTATGTTGTAAAAAAATCTTTACTCGAAAACTATCAAAAGTCACGGTGATTTGGGTAGCCCTAGTGATGCTCTACCTCTGGGCTTCGGCTTGACACTACTTTTTGGGACACCCTGTATACAGGGTGTTTGGTAAATGGGTATATGAGCCGACACTAGCCCATGTTCACATGGGCATATAAATGGTATGGTGAAGTCAGAAAATTGATATCTTCATTTTAATTATTTTAATTTTCATACAAAATAAATTTTATAAATTCCGATTTGTATGAAAATTAAAATAATTAAAATGAAGATATCAATTTTCTGACTTCACCATACCATTTATATGCCCATGTGAACATGGGCTAAAATAAATTTTATAAATTCCGATTTGTATGAAAATTAAAATAATTAAAATGAAGATATCAATTTTCTGACTTCACCATACCATTTATATGCCCATGTTAACATGGGCTAGTGTCGGCTCATATACCCATTTACCAAACACCCTGTATAACTCAAAGGTGACTGACTAACTGACATAGAGATCTACAAACGCACAGCCCAAACCACTGGACGGATCGGGCTGAAATTTGGCATGCAGGTAGATGTTATGACGTAAGCATCTGCTAAGAAAGGATTTTACGCAACTGCACCCCTAAGGGGGTAAAACTGGATCCACGCGTACGAAGTCGCGGGCGGCCGCTAGTTTAGGTATATTATGTCAAGGTCAAATTAGTAGTTTAAGTAAAATGTTACTTTAATATTACTTATTAACTACATACACATCATCCGGTCACGTGAAACCCATTGTTGTTCGCTCAATGGGTTATAATTATCTTGGTATACTATTATTATAAAGCTGAAGAGTTTGTTTGTTTGCTTAAAAGCGCAAATCTCAGGAACTCTTTTTAGCTTCCTGTAGTTTGCAAGAAAGGATTTTTTTCCTGGCGGCTTGGTGACTGGAATTGAACCGCCACCGGTGCAGACGGAGAAGATGGTGAATTGTCTGCACGTGAAAAAGAGGTTGTCCGGCTCTGCAACGCTACAAGTTTTGTGGAACAGGTTGCACAGATCTTACCCGTCTCTTAATAACATCCCAGACATGCTCTATGTGTAGTGCACTGTTCTATGTGCATGTCGCAGTCGGATTGTATAATCCGCCGTTTTACATTACCACTAGGCATTTTACATTACAGCTCTGTTTTGTAATACGGCGGTTCAACGTTTAGGCGGATTGTCATTGCGTGCGATACGCATACTCTCTAATCTGTGGCGATACGTTCTTCAATACGGCGGCCCACGTTTAGCCGCATCGGACTACTATAAATTGTAGGGTGACCATACTTACAAAATAAAACAATGTTTAATGAAAATAAATTTTAATAAGACAGATTCTAAGAATTATTTATCTTCGTTACTGTATACTAAATAATATATTTGACTTTTCTTAACATTTTAAGAATTAATTAGAAAATTATCACAGGGAACAGGTAACTCAAAACAATAAAGTTTTAGTCATTTTTCTGGGTTATTTTTCTTTAAGATAAAATTATCTTCACCGGCCACAGCCATGATTTCATATTTTTACACTAATAATATTGTGTAGGATTCCGCCGAACACTAGAATCCATAGCCACTTTGTCCGGCAGCGCCACGGTATTGAAAATAGGAACTAAAAACTGTCAAAGCGGCGGGTGATAACACGCTGTTTTACATTACGGCTAGCCGTATTGAAGAACGTTTGGCGCTGAATACATTCCGGCGGATTTTCATTCAGCCGTATTCAATCCGCCTAAACGTTAAGCTGCCGTATTACAAAACAGAGCTGTAATGCAAAATGCCTAGCTGTAATGTAAAAAGGCGGATTATACAAATTGACTGCGACATGCATATAAGTTTGAAATAAATAAATAAATGCTCTGTGAGCGCGCATTGTTATCCATAAAAATTAAAATAGAATTGGACTTCCGTTATGTACTACTAACTGTGTGAAAACTATTTACCTAATCAAAGATGTATGTTTAATGTACCCTGCCCATTGCCTCTTCAGCTTGATAATTCGTCGAGCGAATTTAGTTCTTTTACGGGTCTACTCATTTCTTATTCAACACCAAGCATCAATTCTCGAGATTGTTGACAAATATGTCTACCTCGGACAAACGATTCAGCAAAGTAGGTCCAATTTCGAGAGAGACAGTTCGGCTGGGCAGCGTTCGGGAAACTACGCAACATCTTTTTATCCAAAATACCTCAGTACCTGAAGACGAAAGTCTACAACCAATGTGTGTTACCAGTGATGATAAATATGGTTCGGAAACGTGGCCTCTCACTATATGTCTTATACAGAAGCTCAAAGTTGTACAGCGTGCTTAGGAAAATAAAATGCCAATACATCTTCAAATTAATAAAACCTTGTAATATTCATTGAAGTAAAAAAAAAAATCTAAAGTGCCCGTTTTATGCATAAGAGTTTATTAATTCAAACTATTTTCACGCGTACGAAGTCACGGGCACAGCTAGTAAATTATAAAAATATACATACAGATGTATTTTCATTTCTTGTTTTTTTTTCTAAAATTTTAAGAAGTGACAATGTATCGTAGGAAGTATACTTCCTACAATAAGTTAAAAGGGTATTTAATAAGTTGTATTTAAAAGGGTCCCCTGAGGTAGTTTTTACACAAAGGTAAAACTGCACGCGTACTATCAGTTACATTATTTTGTTTTAATATTAGCCATAATAAATAATTAAAAATTATGGCTGAAACACTAAAAGACCCAAATGAAGCCTCAGCTAAGGACAATTTGCCAAATAATAAAAGAGAATCAAAAATAATTTATAAATATGTCATCTCGTTCACTCTCTTGCACCTCGCTGCGTTCTATGGATTGTATTTATGTTGGACATCAGTGAAATGGCTCACTATTGGATTCAGTAAGTGTAAAAAATCTAT